GATATTGCTTTTCTATCATCTCTTTCCACAGATGTAGTCGATTTGATCCCTGTGTATTCCATCTGGCAAGGTTCACATGTATACTTGCTGTTTATGTTGGTGAAAAAAGTATTTGCAATGAAGAAGTCGTTGGTCTTGCAAAATTCTGTTATGCAATCTATGGCATCATTTCTATCTCCAAGGCCATATTTTCCAACTACCGATCTTTCTTCATTTCCAACTTTCGCATTCCAATCACCAGTAATTATCCATGCATCTCGACTGCATGTTCGATCAATTTCAGACTGCAGAAGTTGGTAAAAATCTTCGATTTCTTCCTCTTTGGCCTTAGTGGTTTGGTGCGTAGTCTTGGATTCTTGTGAACAGTCCTAGCTATTTTAGTGTATTGTGACAGAGGATTTTATTTCATTGAATTTTCTAATAGTCAGTTATTAACTTTCATATTTTTATGTGACCACTTTTACTAAGTTTTCTTTTTAGCTTACATTAATAATTTTACACTTGAATCTTAGATTGTCTAGGTAGATTAGATTACATACAAATAACTTTAGTTTCTACATTTCATACTTTCTTTGATATCCTATTGTACTGGTTAATTTCTAGAAAAAATACTGAATGATAATTATGATAGTAGGTATTCCTGCCTTAATCTTTATTTTAAAGGAAGTTCCTCTAGAATTTCACAAATATGTAAGATGTGGGTTGCTGACCTGAAATACATATTCTCTACCACATCAAAAAAAGAATTCTTCTAGGTCTAAGAGTTGGTATCAAATTTTTAAAATATCTTTCCAAACCTGTTGCTGTTGAGTTGATTCTGACTCCTAGCAACCCTAGAGGACAGAGAACTGCCCCATAGCATTTCCAAGGAGGGTCTGGTGGATCTGAACTTTTGGTTAACAGCCAAGCTCTTAACCACTGCACCACCAGGGCTCCAAAATGTCTTTCAGCATCTTTTAAGATAGGCTTTTTTCCTGTGGTCTACTTCTGTAATAAAACAGATTTCCTAATACTAAGTCCACAAGAGCTAAAATATGACCTTGAGTATATCCCACCTGAGTTTAGAGACCATCTCAAAAACAGATATGACACACTGAACACTAATGACCGAAGACCAGACAAGTTGTGGAATGACATCAAGGACATCATACTTGAAGAAAGCAAGAGGTTGTTAAAAAGACAAGAAAGAAAGAAAAGACCAAAATGGATGTCAGAAGAAACTCTGAAACTTGCTCTTGAACAGAGTAGCTAAAGTGAATGGAAGAAATGGTGACGTAAAAGAGCCGAACAAAAGATTTCAAAGGCTGGCTCGAGAAGACAAAGTATTATAATGAAACGTGTGTTCAACCATTTTAGGAGGTAGCATATGATCAGGAACCAATGGTACTGATGGAACAAGTCCAAGCTGCACTGAAGGCACTGGTGAAAAACAAGGCTCCAGGAACTTACAGAATACCAACCGAGATGTTTCAACAAACAGATGAAGCACTGTGCTCACTTGTCTATGCCAAGAAATTTGGTAGACAGATGCCTCGCCAAATGACTGGAAGAGATCCATATTTGTGCCAATTCCAAAGAAAGATGATTCAACAGAATGTGGAAATTATCAAATATCATTAATATCACACACAAGTAAAATTTTGATGAAGATCATTCAAAAGCGGTTGCGGCAATACACCAAGAGAGAACTGCCAGAAATTCAAGCCAGATTCAGAAGAAGGTGTGCAACCACGGATATCACTGCTGATGTCAAATGGATCTTGGCTGAAAGCAGAGATGTAAAAAGATGTTCACCTGTTTTACTGACTATGCCAAGGCATTCAACTGTGTGGATCATACCAAATTACGGATAACACTGCGAAGAATGGGAATTCCAAAACGCTTAACTGTGCTTATGTGGAACCTGTACACAGACCAAGAGGCACTAGTTCCAAGAGCACAAGGGGATACTGCGTGGTTCAAAGTCAGGAAAGGTGTGTGTCAGGGTTGTATCCTTTCACCATACTTATTCAATCTGTATGCTGAGCAAGTAATCTGAGAATTTAGACTATATGAAGAATGACGCATCAGGACTGGACAAAGATTCATTAACAATCTGTGATATGCAGATGATACAATCTTGCTTGCTGAAAGTGAAGAGGACTTGAAGCACTTACTGATGAAGATCAAAGACTACAGCCTTTAACATAAAATAAAAGTCCTTGCCATTGGATCAATAAGCAACATCATGATAAATGGAGAAAAGAATGACGTTGTTAAGAATTTCATTTTACTTGGATGCACAATCAATGCCCATGCAAGCAGCTGTCAAGAAATCAAATGACGTATTGCACTGGGCAAATCTGCTGCAAACGACTTCTTTAAAGTGTTAAAAAGCAAAGATGTCACTTTGAGGACTAAGGTGTGCCTCACCCAAGCCATGGTATCTTCAACTGCCTCGTATGCATGTGAAAGCTGGACAATGAATAAGGAAGACCGAAAAAGAATTGATGCCTTTGAATCGTGGTGTTGGTGAAGAATATTGAATATACCATCGACTGCCAAAAAAACGAACAAATCTGTCTTGGAAGAAGTACAACCAGAATGCTCCTTATGAGGAAGGATGGCGAGACTATGTCTTACATACTTTGGACATGTTGTCAGGAGGGATCAGTCCCTGGAGAAGGACATCATGCTTGGTAAAGTAGAGGGTCAGCAAAAAAGAAGAAGACCCTCAAGGAGATGGACTGCAACAGTGGCTGCAACAGTGGGCTCAAGCATAACAATTGTGAGGTGGCACAGGACCAGGCAGTGTTTCGTTCTGGGGTGCATAGGGTCGCTATGAGTCAGAGCCCATTTGACAGCACCTAACAACAACAACAACACATTTCATATTTGTGTAAGTACTAAATTTTTAGATGGAAAAGATATGTATTTTCATCTTCTAGGTACTGGAGAAGTAGCCCTGACGGCACAGTGGTTAAAGCACTCGGCTAACCAGAAGTTGGCGGCTTGAACCTACCAACCACTCTGTGGGAGAAAAGATGTGGCAGTCTGCTTCTATAAAGATTTCAGCCTTGGAAATCCTATGGGGCAGTTCTACTCTGTCCTATAGGGTCACTATGAGTTGGAATCGACTCGATGGCAGAGGGTTTGGTTTTTATGGTTTAGGTGCTGGAGCAAATTCTGATTCCTAACTTAGACATCATGATTTCCTTTGTTGGAGCCATGGGCAGCAGCACATTGGCCCTGATCCTACCACCTCTTGTTGAAATTCTTACATTTCTAAAGAACATTACAATATATGGATGATCCTGAAAATATTTCTATGGAATTCATTAGAGTTGGTGGTTTCCTATTAGTAGGTTCTTTTTCAAAAACACTAATTAAACATAGTTCTCTTATCTTCTCATCCATCTGCCCTTTGTTCTACATTCTGGGAAATCTTACAGATCTCATTTTATACCTTTAACCCCTTGAACTGCTAATTTTCACAATGAATACTTACTTAAAGAAAGGCTGGAAGAAAACTGTTCTCTGTGCTACTATCTCAGTTAGGAAATATTTGAAATAATCTAAATATCCGTAATTAGGTGAGTAAATAAATAAAATGTAGCATTTTCACATTATGGAAAACCAGAGTTAAAGGAAACGAACCAGACCTTATACATAGCAATGTGATTAGATCTCAAAACCAATGCTGACCAAACCAGTAGCCAGGACATATATGATTATTTATGTAAACTTAAAAACTGTAAGAAACAGAATTATGTATATATTTGTACATACATATATAACAACTAAAAAAATAACTAATGATAGTGATTGCTCCTACGGAGGCAGACAGACAATGGAACTTGTGGTTATAGGAAGTTGGGTAGAATTCAGAGAGACTGTTTTATTTTCTGTTTTTAAAAAGGGACTACAAGCAAGTACAATGAAATGTTAATAGCTATTAATTCTGGATGGTGTGAATATGGGGGTTTCTAATGTTCCTTTACACATATCTCAAGTGTTCAAATTTCTTGATAAAGACAGTAAAAAATACTAGATGAGAATGTAGATTAAAAAAAACCAGTTGCCATTGAGTCAATTCTGAGTCATGGTAACCCCATGTGTTTCAGAGTAGAACTGCTCCATAGGGTTTTCAATGACTATAATCTTTAAGAAATGGATCTCCAAGACTTCCTTCCAAGGTGCCGCTGGTTGAATTTGAACCACCAACCTTTCTCTTAGTAGCCAAGTACTTAACCGTTTGTGCCAACCAGGGACTCTAAAATGCAGATACTAGATCAATTAAATTCATTGCTACCTGAGGACTACAATCAGTAGCACCTAATGAACTAAAAGTGAAGAAAAAAAGGAGAAAAAATAAGGTAAGGTTATGTTTTCCTTAACTAACTTAAGTCTATTTTAGTACTTTTAAACAATGCTGGGATTACACTGCATAGTACTTGAAGGTTTGGGAACAGACACTACCTATTAAAAATAAACAAAGACACTAAGCATCAGATTCTCTTTTACAATTCTTCCTTATGCTAAGTAATCTTTACGGAAATTAGTGGAAAAATATAAAGGAAAGATTAGAAAAATTTAGTTTACTCTCATAAACTTTCTGATACTACTTTAGAACAGTTACGCATTTTAAAAACTGAATTGATACCGAAAGAAATACTTTGGACCTCTGTAATATGCCACTTAATCCAGGAAAAATAATTTCCTTGTTGGAAAAAAACAGCCAACTTGGTAGATTTCAGTGTATCAATAATATACACAAAGACATCTTAAGCCACATTTTAGAAAAAGACTTGATTATTTAGAAATGTTAACAAATAAACAATCTATTAAGGGACTCATGAATCTTTATACATGAAATACTAGAATTTACAACTTTTAAAGCTTTTGATGGGAATAGAATCTTTCTTATATATTATATCCACTCTAATTTAAAATGATTGAGTAAATCTCTTTAAAGGAGTAAAAGCATTAACAACATAAATGAATTCAACTTATATACATACTGGAATGTGGAGTCTTCTGGAAAGGAGTTTTCATATGATGTAGAGGGCAACGAACTTGATTTGTTTTCCTGTTCATTCGGAGTCACAGGTATATCATCTATATGAAAAATACAAATGTGAGAAACAATTAGTACATCAAGTTTAAAATCATTCACTGTAATATTCAAATAATATTTTCATTGGATACATTCTGTCCATATGGAGAGCTAAAATCAGTAAAGGTATTAAGATTTCAAGATTGAGCCAAAAGATTTGGTATCATTACTGCATTTTCAAAAACATTAAGAAAGTAAGACAGGATAAAATAAGACTGATGATGGGAGAGATTTCTACTGGAGAGCCTGTTTCTGGCCTGAACTTTATCTGAATTTTAATCAACGTTCAAGGTAAATATTTACCTCTATTTTCTAGAAATACAACTCTTAAAGGCTACATAAAAGGCCACAAAATGCAAAGTTTAAGTATTTTTGTTTTCCCATGGTTCTACTACTATCTACGTTTTTACGGTAGAGCGTTTGGGTACCTCTTTTTGTCTGTTTGTTCTTTCCTATTTCTCTTAGCCTCACCTGTATCTTTCTGAACTTAATTTTGTCTCTTCTTTCCCTACTTTTTATACTTCATTTATTCTCACTCTCTAACATAACTACAATACAGAAATAAACCTGTAGCATTTAATGTGAAAAGCTACAGATTCCTGTTCTTATTTTGAAAAGTAGATACATAAATCACAGTGAATATTCTGTTGAATTAAAAAAACTTTTTTTAATGTGCTGATTTTTTCCTGTACACTGATAGTCCTCAAGAAAAACTAATTCTCATTCTGCCTCACATTTTTATCTTGCTTTGGTCCTTGAGTGCAGACGAGTACTATTGGGGGAAAAAAAAGTTTAAAGAAATATTTTAAGTTACAATCCAAAGCCTCTCATTGGCTAACTGGAAAACAGCACCACTCCAAAGCCTCTCATTGGCTAACTGGAAAACAGCACCACTCATTATCTAGGTAATGAAAGAAGGTTTAAAATCTGATAGATGAAGAGAGCTATAATAATTGATTAAACATTATATAAGTTTTACAAATTTAGAACATCTGATTTTTTTCCCAGATAATTTCTTCGCATAAGTCATATAAATGCACGTTAACAAATATGACATATATGGGCATAATAAAAAATATGATTATCTGAAAAACACGAGGTTTTAAATTAATCATTAGATAAAAGGGAGAAGAAGAGTACCCAATCTTCTACGCAAGAAAAGAGTACCCAATCCTTTGTAGGGGGACATAGCAAATATTTACAGTTATATATAAGCTAGGAAAATAAAGGTGATTAGTGGTTTGATCAGGAGCCCTGGTTAAGTGCTCGGCTGTTAATCAAAAGGTCAATGGTTCAAAACTACCAGCTGCTCTGTGGGAGAAAGATGTGGCAGTCCACTTTCATAAGGATTTACAGGCTTGCAAACGCTATAGGGCAGTTCTACTCTGTCTTATATTGTCGCTGAGTCCGAATGGACTCCACGACAGTGGGTTTGGTTATAGGTTTAAGTGGTTTGATCACAGCCTGAGGAGTCTAGGCTGGATCTGAGATGGCTATTTTGACCTTAAACGCTGAGTTATTTTGTTTCTTCCAGTCTCAGTATTTTTTTTTTTTAAAAAATGCTAACATGAAACTTTATTACTAGTAGGTTTTTAATAGTCATATATGCCAATTACATAACTCTCCCCTATTATTTACTTTAAAAAATTTCTCTACCATTGACAAATAGATACACCTTATATTTTGATAAATTATATTTCAGATGAAGAAAACAAATTATTTTAAAATATAAGATTGTAATATTCAGCATTTATATTAATGAAATTATTACTTTAAAAGATCAAAACCAAAAACTTTCTTTTAGTGGAAAACAGGATATTTCAAAAAGAAAAAAAAAGTTGTTTAAAATTAGTTCATTATTACCATCTGCTGCATTCAAAAGCTTCTCTCTTGCAAAACGAATGTAATCCCTTAAGGGTGTGCTGATTCCAACTGCTACTGAAGGATAAAGGTTGACTGCTCTCTTTAAGAACCAAAACTTCAGAACTATACTTAGCTAGTGAAATTGAGAATGCTTCTGAATAGCAAGAGTTTTTTAAAACAGACTGAAGATGCTAGGCTGTATTTTCAGAGATTTAAGGCCTTAAGGCTCCAAATTATGACAGTAAACCGAGTATTATTAAAATCTGTTGGCAATATCTAACAATATTAATTAAAACTGAATCAATGTTGTACTTCCTCAACATTTTAGCAAACTAGTGATAGACAACATTTACAGAATAATGATTCTGATAAAATAACATTTAAACTTTTCTTTTTCTTCTTTTAGTATATTATCTTTGATCAATTCTTTCTAAATAGAATTTGTTTAAAGTTTGGATGGCTGATGGTCTAGTAACAATCTAGGAAATGAAAAATTTATCTACCAACTTATCTATACCGGAATATATCTTTCTAGTATTGTTCTTCACTAAAGGGGTTTACAGTGGTTTCAAGTCTTAGAATTCTGTTCACGCTCCTTATATGAGAAGAAAGTTTTGTTAGAGAAAACAGACATTTGCTCATTGTTTCCCTAGGAGGCTTAGTAGGGTGTGTACTTCCTATCTCTGGCTGGGTAAGGCTTTCAATTTAATAAAAGAAACAGTGATCTATGAAACCTAGCAGTATGGATCTTACATTTTATTTTAAATTATCTTTAGTTAACCTGATATATTAAGGTTGGCCTGCTTCATGCCAAGATAATACCAGAAATTGGGATCAGAGTTGTACATACCCTTTATTAGTGCTGAATTGTTATTTACACTTGCTTGATTCACCAGAATCATTGCTTGGATGTATTCTGTTAAGGAAAGAAAAGAATGATAACCACCTTTACTCATGGTGCCAGTCAATGTGCTAAATAATTTACATATTTCATCTCATTTAATCTTCAGAAATCCCCTGTGAAGTTCCTATGATTACCCACATTAGAGATAGAGAAACTGAGGCTCAGAGGTTAAGTTACTTATTTTAGGTCACTTAGCTAGGAAGTAGCAGAACTGGATTCAAACCTAGATATAGCTGACTCATGAAGACTGAGAAGGAATATTAAAATGTAAAAATAGTACTAATTTTTTGCTTATTGTTGTAGTTTAACTGAAAGTTTACAATTCAAGTTAGTTTCTCATACAAAAATTAATTATACATACATTGTTATATGACCCTAACTGCTCTCCCTATACTGTGATAGCACACTCCTTTCTACCCGATTTCCCACATCCATTCAACCAGCTCCTAACCCTCTCTGCCTTCTCATCTCACCTCCAGACAGAACCCATTTAGTCTCATGTTTCTACCTGAACTAAGAAGCACACTCTTCATGAGTATCATTTTATGTCCCACAGTCCACTCCAATCTTTGTCTGAAGAGTTGGCCTCGGGAATTATTTTAGCTCTGGGTTGACAGAGAGTCCGGAGGCCATGCTTTCTGGGCTTCCTCCAGTCTCAGTCAGACCATTAAGTCTGGTCTTCTTACTAGAATTTGAGTTCTGCACCCCACCTTTCTGCTGCTCCATTAGGGACTCTCTGTTGTGTTCCCTGTCAGGGTGGTCACTGGTGGTAGCCAGGTACCATCTACTTCCTCTGGTCTCAGGGTGATGAAGTCTCTGGTTTCTGTGGCCCTTTCTGTCTCTTGGGCTAATACTTTCCTTCTGTCTTTGGTGCCTTTACTCCAGGTGGTTGGGACCAACTGATGCATCTTAGATGGCCACTTGCTAGCTTTTAAGACCCCAGATGCCACTCACCAAAGTAGGATGCAGAACATTTTCTTACTAAACTTTGTTATGCCAATTGACCCAGATGTCCCCTGAAACCATGGTCCCCAGACCCCTGCTCCTGCTACTCTGTCCTTTGAATTGTTCGTATTCTGGAAACTTCTTAGCTTTGGTTTAGTCCAGTTAGTACTAATATTTTTTGACAAACACAATAGATTAATGTCATAAGAGCATTTAGAAAGCATTAAGAATGTTGTTGTAGATACTGTTCTTAGTTGTTGTCGAGTCAATTCCAACTCATGGCAACCCCATGTGTTGCAGAGTAGATCCGCTACATAGGGTTTTCTTGGCTGTAATCTTAACAGAAGCAGATCGCCGTGCCTTTTCTCCCACGGTACTGCTGGGTGGGGTCGAACTGCGAACCTCTAGGTTAGCAGTAGAGCACAAACTGTACCACCTAGGAACCTGCATTAAGAATAGTCGGGGGAAAAACGTGCTTCAAAATCATGTCCTAAAAAACAAGAAAACACGGGAACAAGACAGGATGCCCTTTATCACCAATCCTATTTAACACTGAGCTCGAGTTCTAGCTAGAGCAATAAGGCAAGAAAAAGAAATAAAGGGCATCCAAATTGGAAAAGGAAAAAGTAAAACTATCCCTATTCGCAGGTGATATTACCCTGCATACAGAGAACCCAAAGATTCCACAAGAAAACAACTGGAACTAATAGGAAGATTCAGCAGAGTAGCAGGATACAAGACCAACATACAAAAATCAGTTGGATTCCTATACACTGACAAAGAGAACTTTGAAAAGGAAATCAGGAAAACAATATCATTTATAATAGTCCCTAAAAAGATAAAATACTTAGGAATAAATCTAACCAGGGACGTAAAAGACCTACACAAAGAGAACTACAAAACACTATTCAAGAAACCAAAAGAGATGTACATGAATGGAAAAACATACCATGCTCAGGATAGGAAGATTCAACATTGTGAAAATGTCAACCCTACCAAAAGCAATCTACAGATATAACATAATCCTGATGCACATACCAACAGCAGTCTTTAACAAGATGGAAAAATTAATTACCAATTTCATGTGAAAAGGGAAGAGGCCCCGGATAAGCAAAGCATTATTAAAAGAAAAAGAAACATCATTAAAGAAACAGCCTGGTACTGGTACAATGACAGACACATAGACCAATGGAACAGAACTGAGAACCCAGATGTAAATCCATCCATGTACAGTCAGCTGATCTTTGTCAAAGGCCCAAAGTTCATTATATGTGGAAAAGACAGTATCTTTAACAAATGGTGCTGGCAAAACTAGATGTCCGTCTGGAAAAAAAAAGAAACAGGACCCATACCTCACATTATACACAAAAACTAACTCAAAACTGATCAAAGATCTAAATATAAAACCTAAAAAGATAAAGATTATGGAAGAAAAATTAGGGGTAACAATTTTTCCCATTGCCGTCGAATCGATTCCAACTCAGAGTGACACTACAGGACAGAGTAGAACTGCCCCACAGGGTTTTCAAGGGGCGGCAACACTAGGGATATAAGTTCAATACAAACCATAATTAACAATGCACAAACAGCAAAAGATAAACTAGATAACTGGGAACTCCTGAAAATTAAACACTTAATCTCATCAAAAGACTTCACCGAAAGAGTAAAAAGAGAACCTGGAGACTGGGAAAAAATTTTTGGCTACAGCATATCCAACAAGGGCCTAATCTCTAAAATCTAGAGAATACTTCAACACCACAACAACAAAAAGACAAACAATCCAATTAAAAAATGGGCAAAGGATATGAAAAGCCACTTCACCAAAGAAGACATTCAGGCACATGAGGAAATGCTCTCAATCATTAGCCATTAGAGAAATGCAAATCAAAACTACAGTGAGATACAATCTCACCCTGACATTACTGGCAGGAATCATAAAAACAGAAAATAACAAATGCTGGAGAGGTTGGGGGGAGATTGGAACTCTTATGCACTGCTGGTGGGAATGTAAAATGGTACAAACACTATGGAAAATGATATAGTGCCTCCTTAAAAAGATAGAAATATCATACAGTCCAGCAATCCCACTCCTAAGAATATATACTAGAGAAATAAGAGCCATCACACGAATAGTCTTATTCACATCCATGTTAACTGCAGCATTATTCACAACAGCAAAAAGATGGAAACAACCTAAATACCCATCAACAGATGAATGGATAAACAAATCATAGTACATATATGTCATGGTTTGAATTATGTCCCCCCAAAAATGTGTGTATCAATTTGGCTGGGCCATGATTCCCAGAACTGTGTGGTTGGCCTCCATTTTGTGATTGTAATTTTATGTTAAAGAGGATTAGGGTGGGATTGTAACAGCACCTTTACCCAGGTCACATCCCTGATCCAATGTAAAGGGAGTTTCCCTGGGGTGTGGCCTCCACCACCTTTTACCTCTCAAGAGATAAAAGGAAAGGGAAGCAAGCAGAGAATTGGACACCTCATACCATCAAGAAAGCAGTGCCGGGAGCAGAGTGGGTCCTTTGGACCAGGGGTCCCTCCGAGTCCAGGGGAACACTGAAGAGAAGAAGGCCAACAGAGAGAAAAAGCCTTCCCCTGGAGCTGACACCCTGAATTTGGACTTGTAGCCTACTTTGACTGTGAGGAAATAAACTTCTCTTCATTAAAACCATCCACTTGTGGTATTTCTGTTATGGCAGCACTAGATGACTAAGACAATATACACAACAGAATACTACGCAACAATCAAGAACAATGATGAATCTGCAAAACACCTCACAACATGGATGAATCTGGAGGGTATTATGCTGAGTGAAATAAGTCAATCACAAAAGGACAAATATTGTATGAGACCACTATTATAAAAATTCAAGAAAAGGTTTACACACAGAAAAAAACAATCTTTGATGGTAACAAGGGAGGGGACGGTTGGGGAGGGGAAATCACTAACTAACTAGATAGTACACAAGTGTTAACTTTGGTGAAAGGAAAGACAACACACAATATAGGGAAAGTCAGTACAACTTGACCAAGGCAAAGCCATAGAAACTTCCTAGACACATCCAAATACCTTGAGGGACTGAGTTACTGGGGCTGAGGACTGGGGACCATGGTCTCAAGGGACATCTAGGTCAATTGGCATAACTTAGTTCATAAAGAAAATACTCTACATCTTACTTTGGTTGAGTAGTGTCTGGGGTCCTAGAAGCTTTCAAGCAGCCATCTATTGGTCCTATCACATTCGAAGGAAAGGGGAATGAAGACAACCAGAGACACAAGGAAAATATTAGTCCAAAGGACTAATGGACCACGTGAACCACAGCCTCCATCAGCCTGAGCCCAGGAGAAATAAATTGTGCACGGCTACCACCACAGACCACTCTGACAGGAATCACAATAGAGGGTTCCGGACAGAATGGGAAAAAAATGTAGAACAAAATTTAAATTCTTAAAAAAAGACCAGACTTACTGGTCAGACAGAGACTGGAGGGACCCCCGAGACTAAGGCCACTAGACACCCTGCTAACTCAGAACTGAAGTCACTTCCGAAGTCCACCTTTCATCAAAGATTAAATAGGCCTATAAAACAAATAACAGCACACATGAGGAACGTGCTTCTTAGTTCAATCAAGTATACGAGACCTAATGTGCAACACCTGCCCAAAAGCAAAGATGAGAAGGCAGGAATGGACAGGAAACCTGGATGAATGGACATGGGGAGCCTGGGGTGGAAAGGGGAAGGGTGCTGACACATTGCGGGGACTGCAACCAATGTCACAAAACAATCTGAATATAAATTTTCGAATGAGGAACTAATTTGCGCTGTAAACTTTCACCTAAAACACAATTTAAAAAAAGAAGAAAACACATGTTCTCATGTGCTGAAGGAGGTTTCCCCCATCGAAGTCTATGTTCTACAACCAACCAAGGATGAAGACAAAGAAATAGGAAAAAAAAAAAACAAAAAAACCTGAATGTCTGAACTGACTGCCTATAGAGAGCAAAAGTTTTACTTTCAGAGGACTAGTAGTGTAAGTTCTGTTTAAAGCAGGCAAAATACAGTTATGTGTATGCTTACATTTTTTAAAAAAAACACTAGGTATCTTTGAATGATTGGGTAATGGGTAATTTTCCTTTTCTGTATTTTTCTGTATATACCAAATGTCGGCAATGAGCAGGTATTACTTTTGCAACCTCCCCATCTCCCTAAAGACAGAAGAGAAAAAAAGATAAAAATGGAAAATATGTATATAGCCTAAGAGAAAAAGAGATAAATTTAGTAGCTTCTTATTCACAAGTAACCATCTTCACCTACTTTTACAAAATGTCCATGATATATTAAAAGAAAGTTTTTATAGAGGCAGAGCACAATAAAAAGCCATTAGAACTGACGTTAGGTTCTTAGAAAACAAAATAAAAAAATTATTTGACTTTTAAAACAACACTGGAAATAGGATAATGCTGTATTGCCAGCTGGCAATATTACCTTTATTTGTGGCAGACCCATCTTTGATCTTTTGCTTCAGTGACTGCAACACATTTTGCACTTGTTCAAATATAAAGTCCACTTTTCCATCATCTTCCAGCTCCATCCAGAAAGTTTTTGCATCACCTAAAAAAAAATGAAGATACTAAGAGCGTAACAGAAATGGACTATTAATTTCCCCAAAGTGCATATTACAGAAAATCAAGATTCTGTTGGTCTGTCACTTTCCTGGAGAAAAAAGATTTTGGTAATGTTTCACCCAAAGGCAAAGAACTAGAAAGAAAACGTATGATCCAATTATCTTACTTATTTCTGCTAATTTTTAAAATATATTGACTAAATGACACTATTTCTTGACTGGGAAAAGAAGGCATGATTTCATTCTAGGGGTAGCAGTGGGGCATAGTTATAGATACACATGCACTTTTAAAGTTTCAGTGATGTGATCTCCACTGAGTATGGGTGTGGATGGTTTCAGAATGAAACATCTCAACAATGGCTGAAACAACTGAATGTCCAACAGTATTACTTTTAAAAAGGTCTTTTATATTTACAATAATTACACAAAGCAAAATAATGAAGTTTTCATAAAGTTGTAAAGATAAGCCAATATTTAGAGATGTCCAGCAAACTAATAACACCTAAATTAAAATTTTCCTAGACAAATAATCCTTTTGAAGCTGAAAACGGAAGTATGAGAAAGGCAATTAAAATAAATTGCACAAAGCCAAATCTCACACTTACACCACGTTTAAAATAAAAATACCTAAGATCTTAAGCACAAATCTGTAAAATGCTAAAATTAATGTATAAAATTATTGATAAAATATCAAAATTAATAGAGCCTTAAGCAAAGGAGGGACATAAGAACTGCATTTTAGAAATGTCACTTGAGAAACCACGGTGAGGATTAACGGGCAGAGAGCCATGTTAGTTTACAAGAATACATACTGCTTAATAAAAATTAAACCCACCACCTCTAAGTCTGGCAATGGAGAGGGAATCTTCATAAGGACCGAGGCGTAGACCTTGGAGTCCCAACTCCCGCTGGGAAAGTCACCTCACCCCAAGGCATCTCTGGCTAATTAGGGATGCTGCCACCACAAGGGGCTCAGGAGGGATGCTGTTTCCCTGCTAACACACTGGCCCAAGGGTAGGACACAAGCCCACACCTAGTTTGAATTCTCCATTGCACAACTGAGACGAGGTTTCAACATCTGAAACAACTACAGTATGAGACGACAAAAGGAACGAGAAATCAGTTGTTGGTGTATTAGCATGACCATGAAGTCAATGTATTCTTCACCATGAACTTCACTGAAGAATGTCCTTGAGGAAGCAACAAAAATGATTACCAAAGTACAATGCCTGCCTCAAGGAAAAGCACTAGTGAGACTGAGTTGCAAGTTAAATGAGCTGCTCTCTCCACCCCCCATCTCCCCACGGGAAACAAATGCATTTTATTTGAAAGAATCACTGACAAGCTATGGTTTTTCCAGATTTGAGTGACTAGCACACAAGTTCTCAAAAATGAACAAACTGACCCTACCACTTGAAAGATAAAACTGACAGTATTTGTTGTTAAGACAAAATCTAAGCTTCCAAGTGAAAATTAGAAATTCGGAAATCTTTTATCTGCCACGTGCATTTGACAGGTTCTCAGTAATTAAATACTTTTTTGATAAGACTGGTGGCAATCTAACAAATACCATTTTTTATTGTGTGATAAAATATGTCAACATTTGAAAGACCTGCAAAATTCACTGAACCAGTTATTTTCCAAGTGACCAGGATCCCTTCAAAGTCTAAGACAGACCAACGGATTTAATGTAACAGAATCTCAAAAAGTTCACTCATATGAGTTCAGATTCCACATCACAATTAACCCTTAAGAAATAACCACTTTTTGAGTTTTGGCAAAGGCTATTATAATACTCTTCCCTTTTCCAACTTCTTGTCTGTGTGAAGCTGTCTTATTTATATGTGTACCTAGGTGGTACAGTTTCTGAGTGGTACAAGTGGATAACACACTCAGCTGCTAACCAAAAGGTTGGAAGATTTGAGTTGACCCAGAGGCGCCTCAGAAGAAAGGCCTGCCAATCTACAGGCATACTTCGGAGATAATGCAGGTTCAGTTCCAGACTGCCGCTATAAAGGGAACATCGCAGTAAAGTTTGTCACACAAATTTTTGGTTTACCAGTGCATACAAAAGTTACACTTACACTATACTGTAGTCCATTAAGTGTGCAACAGCATTATGTCTTAAAAAAAAGAAAAAGAAAGAAAATGTACATACCTTAATTTAAAAATATTGCTAAAAATGCTAACCATCATGTGAGCCTTCAGCGAGTCATAAATTTTTTGCTGATGGAGGGTCTTACCTCGATGTTGGTGGCCACTGATTGATCAGGGTAGTGACTGCTGAAGGCTAGGGTGGCTGTGGCAATTTCTTAAAATAAGACAACAATGAAGTTTGTCACATCGATTGACTCTTCTTTTCACGAAAGATTTCTCTGTAACATGTGTTGCTGTTTGACAGCATTTTACCCACAGCAGAACTTCTTTCAAAGTTGGAGTCAATCCTCTGAAACTCTGCTCCTGCTTTATCAACTGAGTTTATGTAGTATTATAATCTTTTGTTGTCATTTCAACAATGTTCACAGCATCTTCACCAGGAATAGATTCCATTTCAAGAAACCACTTTCTCTGCTCATCCATAAGAAGCAACTCCTCATCCATTAAGGTTTTATCATGAGATGACAGCAATTCAGTCACATCTTCAGGCTCCACTTTCAATTCTAGTTCTCTTGCTATTTGCACCACATCTGCAGTTTCTTCCTCCACTGTAAGTCTTGAACCCCTCAAAGTCATCCATGAGGGCTGGAATCAACTTTTTCCAAACAACTATTAATGTTGATTTTGACCTCCTCCCATGAATCACGAATGTTCTTAATGGCATCTAGAATGGTGAATCCTTTCCAGAAGGTTTTCAATTTACTTTGCCCAGATCTATCAGAGGAATCACTAGCTATAGCAGCTATTTAAAAAAAAAAAAAAAAAAAAAAAACCTGTTGCCATCTAGTCGATGGCTATAGCCTTACAAAATGTATTTCTTATATAATAAGACTTGAAAGTCAAAATTACTCCTTGATCTATGGGCTACAGAATGGATGCTGTGTTAGCAGGCATGAAAACAACCTTAATCTCCTTGTACATCTCCACCATAGCACTTGGGTGACCAGGTGCATTGTTAATAAGCAGTGATATTTTGAAAGGAATCTTCTTTTCTGAGCAGTAGGTCTCAACAGTTTACTTAAAATATTCAGCAAACCATGTTGTAAACAGATGTGTTGTCATACAGATTTTGTTGTTCCATTTATAGGGCACAGGCAGAGTAGATTTAGCATAATTCTTAAGGGCCCTCGGATCTTCAGAATGGTAAATGAGCACTGGCTTCAACTTAAAAGTCATCAGCTACATTAGCCCCTAACAAGAGAGTCAGCCTGTCCTTTGAAGCTTTGAAGCCAGGCATGACTTCTCCTCTCAAGCTATGAAAGTTCTAGATGGCATCTTCCTCCAATATAAGGCTGTTTGGCTACATTGAAAATCTGTTGTAGCCACCTTCATCAATTAGCTACAGCTTCTGGATAACTGGCTGTAGCTTCTACATCAGCACTTGCTGCTTCATCTTGCACTTCAATGTTATGGAGACGGCTTCTTTCCTTAAATCTCATGAACCAACCTCTGCTAGCTTCAAACTTTTCTTCTGCAGCTTCCTCACCTCTCTCAGCCTTCACAGAATTGAAGAGAGTTAGGGCCTTGCTCTGGATTAGGCTTAGGCTCAAGAGAATGTTGTGGCTGGTTTGATCTTCTATCCAGACCACTAAAACTTTCTTCCTATCAGCAATAAGGCTGTTTCTCTTTCTTATCATTCATGTGTTCACTGGAGTAGCAGTTTTTTCCTTTGCATTCACAACCTGGCTAACTGTTTGGTGCAAGAGGCCTAGCTTTCAGCCTATCTCAGCTTTTGACATGCCTTCCTCACTAAGCTTAACCATTTCTAGCTCTTGATTTAAAGTGAGAGACATGCGACTCTTCCTTTCATTTTAGAGGCCATTGTAGGGTGATTAATCGGCCTAATTTTAATACTGTCATGTCTCAGTGAATACGGAGGCCTGAGGAGAGGGAGAGAGACTGGGGAACCGCTGGTCGGTTCAGCAGTCAGAATACATAACATTTAACCATTAAGTTCACCGTCTTCAACGAGTGCGGTTTGTCGTGCCTTGAAACAATTATAATGGTAACATCAAAGATCACTGATCACAGATCACCATAGCACATATAATAATAATGAAAAAGCTTGAAATATTGCAAGAATTACCAAAACAGGACACAGAGACACGAAGTGAGCACACGCTGTTGGAAAAATGGCGCTGACAGACTTGCTCAATGCAGGGTTGCCACAAACCTTCAATTTGTAAAAAAACTCAATAAAGTGAAGTGCAATACGATGAGGTGTTCCTATACTTCCGAAAAATCAGCCATTGCAAACCCTATGGAGCACAGTTCTATTCTGACACACGTGGGGTTGCCATGAGTCAGAAGTCTATGGTAACTGATCTTTTTAATCTATATATATATTTCTCCCCTTCCAAACATATTAAAACTGATGGAATGCAGAAGCAGATATGAGACTCTCTTCTGTTAAGACAGGTACTAAAGACATATGTAAAAATGTAAAACAATGCTATTCTTCTAAATTTTTTTTGTTTTAGAAAATAATTTTCACAAAAATGTTATTTTTTAAAACGAATCAATAAAGATGTTTGAAAACTTTTCAGTTTTAATTTCTGTAACACTAAATATTGACTATATTACCCACATAAACAAAACCTCTTTGAGGTTTTAAATAATTTTATGAGTATAAAGTAGCAAGAATTAAAAAAAAACATTGGGTATCACTGGTTTAGATCATGGTCGAGTGACATCAGTACTAAAAAAAAAAATACAAAAACTCATTGCCATCAAGTCGATACCAACTCATAGCGACCATACAGGACAGAGTAGAATTGATCTGTACAATAAGTCATACATTAAAAGTACATTACAGAACACTGAAATTACTTTGTGTGATATTGTAATGATGGATACATGACACTATGCATTTATTAAAACTCACAGAACTTTAAAGCACAAAGAGTGAACTTCAATGTATGCAAATTTTAAAAAAATCATTTAGTAAGTCAAGGATCCTAGGAAGAAATGTAGACTGTGACAAGAGAATCTAAATGTATTACAAATGTATGAAACAGCCTCACTGAAGGTTTGGGGGGAAAAGGTGCTGACCTAAACAACTTGGGAAATGAGTGAAATATGTGAGACTAAAGACAAAAGGAATTGCACATAAGCGCTGTACTCTAGTTGATAAAGTTGCTCCCCAGGGGTATGGATTAACAATTCTGATACTGCTATACGTGTATACTGGAACTGAACACTTAATGGATGATGGATGGAGGAAGTCAGGTTTGTCACTGGTAGAGTGGGGGTTTACAGATAAACAAGCGGAGGAGACTAGAGTGATCCATGTGATAATGGATTAGAGTTGAAAACATCAGTATAAACTCATGTTTAGCTTAACATGGATATAGACGGTTGCCTATAGAAACACATGGGTTAGTGTACACACCTGTACGTTCTTGCTCTTTCCATTGAGAAGCAGCAAAATCTCAGTAGCAACAAGCACACCTATAGCCTAGATCTTGGTTTCTAATACATTCTGCAACAAAAGAACCCAGGGCTCATTCAAGAAATGAAATTCTAGGACCACAGCAGGAAATATACAAGATGATCCTGGAATATCTTCTAGTGCCATAAAATAAAGAAGTACTAAAAAGTAAGAACAAAAACAAAAAAGCACCCTACATTGATGAGGGTATGTCAAAGGGACACAGGAGTCAACTGAAAAAGCTCCCAGTGGCTAACGCTGGAACAATTTGAGCAACAAAATAAAGTTAGTACTGAATTACAACCCAAGGTATAAAATAAATATCCATCAGTCCATACTGATGTAACTAAATGACTGAATAAATAAATGGGAGAGAAGAGACAAATATCCCTTGCAGAAAATCCCAAATAATTTATGCAGATATTCTGCCCTCATCCCTTAAGTGTGTGTTGCACATAGTGCTTTCCTTCCAGAGAGTATAGTACGGAAAGGGAGGAAAAAGAGTAACTTTAGAGTGAAGAAACCTGACAACACTACATCAGCCAGGTGAACAAGGTCAATATCAACAGTACTAAATCATGCTGACAGCATGTACCCTTGATATGTTATGATGAAAATGGTACTTTATCTCTGTGGTACCCCTCTCCAAAACCCATAACTCCAATCTAATGAGAAAAACATCAGATACATTCCAATAGAGGGACATCCTGCAAATACGTGACCAGTAGTCTATAAAACTGTCAAGATCATAAAAAACAAGCGAAGTCTGAGAAACCGCTGAAGCCAAGAGACTAAGGAAACATGACAATTAAATATAATGTGGTATCCTGGATGGATCTTGGGACAGAAAAAGACATTAGGTAAAAACCAAGGAAATCTAAAGAAACTATGGACTTTAACGTAAGAAGTTAGTCATAGGGGAAAGTGGGTGTAGGGTATATGGGAACTCTGTCCTACCGTCTCAATTTTTCTGTAAGTCTCAAACTGATCTAAAGATTTAAGTCTATTTTTAAAAGAAGTAGATTAAAGTACTGACGTAGGATTACTGAAACACAATTAATTATAAAGACAGTCAAAACTGGTGGCTATGTAATACTATAAACCCTTAATTCCCTCTAATTCAGAAAAGTCACTTTCAATGACAAACTTTGAAAATTCCATAATTCAGCCACATTAAGTTGTCTACATACTCTTAAATATAAAGTTTAACAATGTATTCTTCAACCTACCATTTTTCTCTCCCATCTTTTGACGTCCTTTGTAAAGTATAAAACACTTCAAAATTAACTTTATCAAAGGATGAATGATATGAATCACTTTGACTGGAGAATGTAACTGGAATCCAAAGGTGGTCTCTATGAAATTTGTAGTTCTTGGACAAAATGCATAACTACACAATTCTAAATCGAATATTCTTTGATACTTGAATTTTCAAATAGAAATTGTGGTTGAAGAAATTTTCAGAAAAGACAAATAGTCGAACATAGTGACAAGTCCGTGCATCTTCATCGAGTGAGTATTTACAGTCGTATCAGATCATTGACAATATCTTTTTTAAAAAAGAAAACAACTCCATCTTTTGATCCACAAATGCGTAAAACATTCTGTAAGGAAAACAATAAAGAATAGTGCATATGTGTAAAGAGCAAGATATATAAGAAAAAAAGATTATAACAATAGCTCTTTTAACATAACATGGACTATTACAAAAAGAATACATAATAACCAGGGAAATTTTATAAAATATCAAAATTAGGGAAACTATAGAACAATCATCAATAATTCTTTTACCAATATCTAATATATTTGTTAATTAACATTGACATTACATTGTTTTTAATCAGACTACTCCATTTTATAAATACTTTTAAAAACTTTAAATATGGGGATGATAATATTAACTATTTTATAGGGCTGTTGTGAGGCACTTGGAATAGTGCCTGGTACATAGTAAGCACTCAATATATGCTAGCATTTATCATTATTCTTTCAGCATATAATTTTAAAACAAAATTTGGATTTCAATGTATAGAATATTTTATAATCTCTCATTAACATATCTTGCACTTTCCCCCTTGTTATTAATATTTTATATTATTAATATTATATACGATTTTTAAATGGTTGTATAATGTACTACAGTCAATAATCCATATATTAGACTAAATAATGTTAATAATTAAATATTTAATAAATTATTACTATTGTAAAAAATCCTCTATGTTGGACATTTATATTGTTTCTATTTTTTTCAATATTATAAGTAACGCTGGGATAAATATACTTTATGCACATCTCATTATTTCCTTAGTTTATATAGCTAGAGGTGGAACTAATAGGTCAAAAGGGATCAACAGTTTTTAGTTTCTAGATATAAGCCAAGCATATGGTGAATTCTTCTCCCACTCCCATACCAGACCCACAGAAATGTTGAGTTTTTAAAAATTAAAAACATAATCATGCTGAACAAAATGGGAACTCTCGATGGACCAAGTCTGTGAGGCCTCTCTGGGGAAAGGAAACAGATGGGGAGTTGCAGAGGTAAGCGGCCACTGCCAACCGCCATCACAACACAGTGTTAAGTATGGGAGAATCCTCTCAGAGAAGTGCACAACTGAGTCATCAAACATCTCAGGAAGGCTACACCATGAAAGAGACTTAACAAACCCACCAAACTGAAGGACTTATACCCAAAAAGAAAATTAAAAGAGCATCCAGAAAATAATTTTAATTCAAATTTTTTTGCATTTAATATCCTCAAAGAGCTAAAGAAGGAAACTTCATCCATGAAATAACACATATTTTTTGAAAAAATAACCAATTAGAAGGTATCTTGGGTATAAAAGAATTATTCATTGACATAAACTTAACAGATGACTGAATAATAAAATGGACTCCACTGAAGACCCAGTTAGTAGGCTGGAAGATTGAGCCAAGTAATTCACCCAGAACACAGAGCAAATAAATAACAAGATTAAGCAGAAAACAGAAAGACTGGACAAGAGGCAATAATGACCAAGAATTTCCCAGAACTGGAAAACACATAAGCCCTCGGACTAAAAGTGCCCACTGAGTGCCAAGAGGATAAAATTCTTAATACACACTCCAGAACAAATTGTTTATTACCTTTAGAACATCAAGGATAAACACCAAGTCTTAGAAGCTTCCACAGAAAAAATCCAGATTATCTACAAAGGAATGTGTATCAGACGGGTAACGAGACTTCTCATAAAAAATACTAGACGCAAAATGCTAAGGGAAAATAAGTCTGAACTCAAAATTCTATTTCCAGCCAAGCTATCTTTCAATAAACCTGTTGCCATTGAGTCGATTCTGACCCATCGCAACCCTGTGGGACAGAGAAGAACTGCCCCATAAGGTTTCCAAGGAGCAGACTGGGGATTCAAACTGCCAACCTTTTGGTAAGCAGCTGAACGCCTAACCACTGCGCCACCAGGGCACCATCTTTCTATAGTAAGGGTGAAAACAGGTAGAACCAAGAAAGTAGGGCTAACCTCATTCAAAAAAGGAAAATGGAAAAATATGATGAAAGATACAAAGAAAAGCATGGTAAATAAAATAATAAGACTAAATATGTCAATAATCACAATAACACTGAATGTGTTAACCTTACCTCTTAAAGGACAGATTCTAAGAATGAACTACAAGCAAAACCTAGATATGATTTTTTTCCCATAAGAAACATCTAAATTATAGAACATGTCACAGAAAGGCTGAAAATGAAGGGATGTGAAGAGACATAACAGAAAAGACAAGAAGAAAGCTAATGTAGCAGCATTCACATCAAACGAAGTAGAATATGAAAACCAGCAAAAGACAAAGAAATATTCTACACTGACAGAACAATTCACCATGAAGTTCTAATATTTATGAACTTCTACATACATACCATATCACTCTGGTTTGTAAGCAAAACTTAAAGAACTACAAGTAAAATCCTCAAATCTACAATTTTAGTGGGAGAGTAACAACCCTTTCTCAGAAATCATTAAAGTAAAAAAATCAGGATATAAAATATTTGAATGAAAGATAAATTAACAAGCTCAATCTAACAAATATATAGAACTTGGTATCCAACAAAAAGTACTTTTTTGGAGAAACAAACATGAAATTTACAAAAACTGACTGTATACTACACCACCAACAAATTTCAAAGTAATGATGTTATGCACATAACGGTCACTTACCAAAATGCAGTAAAAATCAATATTAATGGCATTATTCACAAAACCAATGGATGAAAACAACCCATATGTCAATCAACAGATGAACTGATAAATAAAATGTGGTGTATAGACACAATGGAATATTATTCAGTCATAAAAAGAAATAAAGTTCTGACACATGCTACCACCTAGACGAACCGTGAAAACATTATGCTAAGTAAAATAAGCCAGACATAAAAGAACAAATATTGTATGATTCCACTTACATGAGGTATCTAAAACAGGCAAATTCATAGAGATAAAAAGATCAGAGGTTGCCAGGAGCAAGGGGAAGGGGAGAATGGGGAGATATTGCTTAATAGGTAGTTTCCTCTTGGGGTGATAAAAAAAAGTTTTGGAAATTCACAACGTTGTGATGGTGGCACAACACTGTGAATGTAATTAATGCCACTGAAATATACACTTAAAAATGGTTACGATGGCAAATTTTATGTTACATGCATTTTACCACAATTAAAAAAAAATTAACAATAGCTAACCCCGATATCCCAGACTACCTCTGGAAATTAAAAAAACAAATTTCCAAATAATTTATTGGTTACAGAGGAAATCGAAGTAGAAATTTAAAAATATTTAGAAATGAAGGTGAGTTGAAATATTCTATATCAAAACTTGAAGGATGATGACAAAACAGCACGCGGAAAAATATTTAAACCTTAAATGAATTTGTTTGTTAGAAAATGAGAAAATTTAAATTATTGACTTAAATTTTCAATTAAAGAAGCTGGGAAAAGATCAACAAAATAAATAACAATAACAAAAAGAAAACATATCTGCAGCTACTGAAGAGATTTTTAAACACTTTAAGGTTACCGTGAACAATTACATAGAGTATTGACAAACTTGAAAGCACAGATGAAATAAACAAATTCTAGAAAAATATAAATTATCAAACAAGCTCAAGAAATAAAAATCCCAAGTAAATCAATAAGTATAAAAAGAAAGTAAAACAATAAAGATCTTATCAGTGCTGCATGCCACATATTCCCACTCATCACTCACAGTACATTGGGTCTATATAGTTTTTACAGATGAGTTCTACAAAAACTTTCAGTAAACAGATAATTTTTATCATATCCAAACTGTTCCAGAGCAGAAAAAATAGGGGAAGCTACTTAATACTAATTATGAGAGTAGTATAACTTAATCTCCCACTTGTCTGTCAGTTTGTCGTAGTATGGGGACTTGCATGTTGCTGTGATGCTGGAAGCTATGCTACCAGTATTCAAGTACCAGCAGGGTCACTCACAGCAGACAAAAGACAGACTAGGAAGGAGGACCTGGCAGTCTACTTCTGAAAAGAATTAGCCAGTGAAAACCTTATAAATAGCAGCGGAACACTGTCTGATATACTGTCAGAAGATAAGCTCCTCAAGTTGGAAGGCACTTCAAAAGACGACTGGGGAAAAGCTGCCTCCTAAAAGTAGAGCCGACCTTCATGATGTAGATGGAGTCAAGCTTTTGGGACCTTCATTTGCTGATATGGCACCACTCAAAATGAGAAGAAACAGCTGCAAACATCCATTAATAATTGCAACGTGGAATGTACAAAGCACGAATCTAGGAAAATTGGAAATTGTCAAAAATGAAATGGAACGCATAAACATTGATATCCTAGGCATGAGTGAGCTGAAATGGACTGGTATTGGCCATTTCGAATAGGACAATCATACGGTCTACTACGCCAGGAATGACAAACTGAAGAGGAATGGCATAGCACTCATCATCTAAAAGAGCATTTCAAGACCTATCTTGAAGTACAACACCATCAGTGATAGGATAATATCCATATAACTACAAGGAAAACCAGTTAATACGACTATTATTCAAATTTACGCACCAACCATTTAGGCCAAAGATGAAGAAATTGAAGACTTTTACCAACTTCTGCAGTCTGAAACTGATCAAACATGCAATCAGAAAGCATTGATAATTACTGGTGATTGGAATGCAAAAGTTGGAAACAAAGAAGGATCAGTGGTTGCAAAATATGGCATTGGTGATAGAAAGGGTGCCAGAGATTGCATGATAGAATTTTGCAAGACCAATGACTTCTTCATTGCAAATACCTTTTTTCAACAACATAAACGGTGATTATATACGTGGACCTCACCAGATGGAATACACAGAAATCAAATTGACTACACCTGTACAAAGAGACAATGGAAAAGTTCAATATCATCAGTCAGAACAAGGCCAGGGGCCAACTGCGGAAAAGACCATCAATTGCTCATATGTATATTCAAGGTGTGAAGATGACGAAAATTAGAACAAGTCCATGAGAGCCAAAGTATGACCTTGAGTGTATTCCATCTAAATTTAGAGACCATCTCAAGAACAGATTTGATGCAATGAACACTAATGATCGAACACCACGCAAGTTGTGGAATGACATCAAGGACATCATACTTGAAGAAAGCAAGAGGTTGTTAAAGAGACAGGAAGGAAAGAGAAGACCAAAATGGATGTCAGGAGAGACTCTGAAACTTGCTCTTGAATGTTGAATAGCTACAGCAAATGAAAGAAATAATGAAGTAAAAGAGCTGAACAGAAGATTTCAAAGGGTGGCTTGAGAAAATGTAGTAAAGTATTATCATGACATGTGCAAAGACCTGGAGTTAGAAAATCAAAAGGGAAGAACACACAGCATTTCTCAAGCTGAAAGAACTGAAGAAAAAATTCAAGCCTTGAGTTGCAATATTGAAGGATTCTACGTGGAAAATATTAAACAAGCAGGAAGCCACAAAAGAAGATGGAAGGAATACACAGAGTCACTATACCAAAAAGAATTGGTTGACATTCAGCCATTTCAGGAGGTAGGATATGATCAGGAACCAATGGTACTGAAGGAAGAAGTCCAAGCTGCACTGAAGACCTTGGTGAAAAACAAGGCTCCAGGAATTGGCAGAACACCAACTGAGATGTTCCAAAAAACAGATGAAGCACTGGAAGTACTCACTCATCTATGCCAAGAAATCTGGAAGGAAGATAGCTACCTGGCCAACCAGCTGGAAGAGATCCATATTTATGCTTATTCCAAAGAAAGGTGATCCCACCGAATGTGGAAATTATCAAATAATATCATTAATATCACACACAAGCAAAATTTTGCTGAAGATCATTCAAAAGCGGCTGCAGCAGTACATTAACAGGAAACTGCCAGAAATTCAAGCCAGATTCAGACGAGGACATGGAATCAGGGATATCACAGCTTATGTCAGATGGATCCTGGCTGAAAGTAGAGAATACCAAAAAGATGTTTACCTGTGTTTTGCTGACTATGCAAAGGTATTCAACTGTGTGGGTCATAACAAATTACGGATAACACTGAGAAGAATGGGAATTCCAGAACACTTAATTGTGCTCATGAGGAAATCTGTACATAGATCAAGAGGCGGTCGTTCTAACAGAACAAGGGGATGCTGCGTGGTTTAAAGTCAGGAAAGGTGTGTGTCAAGGTTGTATCATTTCACCATCATTTCACCATACTTATTCAATCTCTATGCTGAGCAAATAATCCGAGAAACTGGACTACATGAAGAACAGGGCATCAGGATTGGAGGAAGACTCATTAACAACCTGCGTTATGCAGATGACACAACCTTGCTTGCTGAAAGTAAAGAATACTTGAAACACTGATGAAGATGAAAGACTACAATCTTCAGTATGGATTACACCTCAACATAAAGAAAACAAAAATCCTAACAACTAGACCAATAAGCAACATCATGATAAATGGAGAAAAGAATGAAATTGTTAAGGATTTCATTTACTTGGATCCACAATCAATACCCATAGAAGGAGCAGTCAAGAAATCAAATGACGTGTTGCATTGGGCAAATCTGCTGCAAAAGACCTCTTTAAAGTGTTAAAAAGCAAAGATGTCACCTTGAAGGCTAAGGTGCGCCTAACCCAAACCATGGTGTTTTCAATAGCCTCACATGCATGCGAAAGCTGGACAATGAATAAGGAAGACCAAAGAATTGATGCCTTTGAATTACGGTGTTGGTGAAGAATACTGAATATACCATGAACTGCCAAAAGAATGAACAAATCTGTCTTGGAAGAAATAACAGCCAGAATGCTCCTTAGAAGTGAGGATGACAAGACTACATCTCACATACTTTGGACATGTTATCAGAAGGGATCAGTCCCCAGAGAAGGACCTCATGCTTGGTAAAGCAGAGGGTCAGCGAAGAGAGGAAGACCCTCAACAAGATGGACTGACACAGTGGCTACAACAATTGGGTTCAAGCATAACGACGACAGTGACGATCGCACAGAACGGGCAAGTGTTTCGTTCTGTTGTACACAGGGTCACTATGAGTCAGAACAGACTCATCGGCACCTAACAACAACAACAAATAACCTAATATCTCAACAATGTCCAAGGAAGCAGTTTTGCATCAGACAAATCTGCTGCAAAAGACCTCTTTAAAGTTTTTAAAAGAAAAGGTGTCACTTTGATGACCAAGTGCACCTAACCCAAGCCACAGTCTTTTCAATCGCCTCCTATACATGTGAACACTGGACAGTGAAAAAGGAAGACTAAAGAATTGACTCATTTGAATTGTAGTGTTGGCAAAGATTATTGAATATACCATAGTCTGCCAGAAGAATGAACAAACCAGTCTTAGAAGTACAGCCAGAAGCTCCTTAGAAGCAAAGATGGTTGGTGAGACTTCATCTCACTTACTTTGGACATGTCATCAGAAGGGATCGATCATCATCAGGAGGGACCAATTGCTGGAGAAGGACATCATGCTTGGTAGGGGGTCAGCAAAAAAGAGGAAGACCCTCTATTACACGGATTGACACAGTGGCTGCAACAATGACATCAAACACCCATGACTGTGAGGATGATGTAGGATCAGGCAAAATATAGATAAACATACAAACAGATACTCAAACCTCATTAGAAATCACAGAAAATTAGGAAAAAAAAAAAAAAGAATATCACTTTCGCCCATCACATAGGCAAAAATTAAAAAGACAATATCTAGTGTGGCTTAGATCATAGGGAACCTGAATTCATATATTAGTAGAGGAATTTTGGAAGCAAATTTGGCATTACCTATTAAAACTAAAAACGTTCTTAAGTTAAAGCCAAGCAATTCCAGTCAGATTCTTGAGAAACTGCACATGTGCGCAAGAAAACATGTACAAGGATTTTCCCTGCAGCACTGTTTGTAAGGAAACAACGTAACGTCCAACAAGAGAAGGGCAAATACAGTATCCATAGTCATATGTTAGAACACCATATAGCAGGTAAAAGAAATGAACCAGATTTACACATAACTGTGCATAAACTGCAAAAACACTCAAATGAAGAAATCAACTTACAGAACGATTACTATGATACCATTTCCATAAAAGAAAAATATTACAAATGCATATATGCACCTATAGAGAATATGTTAGTATGAAAAAGGAATAGGAAGGCTCTGCACCAAAGTACTCAAAGTATTACGTATGCAGGGTGCGGAATTCAGGGATTGTGGACTGCGCTTATCTGTAAGGTTGTAATTCTGTAAAAGAAGAGTGTGGAAGTCTACTTAACGAAAATTAAATATCCAAAATTTAAAAAGGAATTGTGCATTTTAAAACCTTGAGGAGCATATCGCCTTCCAGAAAGGTTCTACCAATTTATACTTCCACCTACAGCATATGAGCATTTTAAAGAAAGCTCTCACCACTACTGCTTAAATATTCCAAAAATTTAAGAAGAAAGGAATTTACAAAGGTAAAACTGAAGAAATTTTACAAAATACGGAAAAGCATAAAGACGAAAATTTAAATCATTCATAACCTCATCATACAGAGATAGCCAGTGTTAATGAGTGTAACTAAGATTTTAAACTTTGTTCATTTTTCCCCTCATTTCTTTGTTTTTCATTTTGGCAGAAAAGCCAGTCAGTTTCCTTTGCTTCAAGTTATGGTTCCTTTTAGGCTCTGAAGAAACCATGTTCATTTCTTCTCGGTTCCTTATGTTTAAAATAATGATGATGATGATAATTAACATTTAATGAGTACAAGCCATGTGTCAGGCACGCTTCTAAATATTTCACGTGTTCTTATTTAATCCGCATAATGATAGTGTGAATTTAATTAGCATGCTTGTATTTCTGAAGAGGAAACTAAGGCATGCCACAAGTAAGTGGCAGAGAGAGTAAGTAACCACGCAGGCTGGCTTCAGAGCCTATGTTCTTGAATATCGCCTCAAAGTTACCTCTACTTGGCCTCATTCATTAATATGTGCAGAACTTTTTGTAGGTTTACACAGAAAGTGCAGTTAATGACATATCGTCCCCCGTTTATTACCTACTAGGTAATTATTGGGTTGTAGTGGATTAGGAGTCAGAAGCCCTTAGGTTCTGATCTCCACTCCGTGATCCTGCATAAATGATTTCACTTATTTAGAGCTTGCGTAGTCTTACCTGTGAAATGGGTCAGTGGTTTAACCTTCCAGTTCTGCTTCTGGATTTTATACTGCAGTCCATTTCTCGCAGCCTCTTTTACAGCCTGTTTCCAGCTGCTTAGGAATCACCTTTCATTACGGTGTGCACCGAGAGACAGAAACTAAAATGGGGTTAAGAACTCAGTGCACCCGCGCGCGGTCCCTTCCCCAGCCTGGGACCGCACGTTGGTGAAAGAAGAAGGGAGGCTGCAAGTGCTGGAGTCCGGCTACCACTCACCCGGCCGAAGGCTCGGCGGTGTTACCGTCCTCGTGCAGCCTCCGCCGAAGGTGCCGTCGGGGAACCCACTGCTGTGCTTCACCTACGCCGACTCCACTGCGTTTTCCATGCCGCCCACCACGGGGAGTTCCGAGCGTGCCAGATTAGAGGGCTGCGCTCTGCCCGCTCGTTGGCGAGGCGGGCTTCCACGCCGATCGGGCTTTTCTCCGACTCCAAGCCACCGAGACCCCAGGGCCCGGGTGGACCCTGGCCGGGAAGTACTTCACCTCAGTGATAACTGTCCCACCTACCCTAAGCCAGGGGAGGGAGAAGAGCGAATTTCAAACGTCTAGATCTACCTAACATGATTTCTAAACAGGAGGCTGACGCAAACGGTCCCTACTATCTCTTGGTAGAAGAACCCAGTGCTTGCATACTCCACTTGGTCTACTCCTCAGAAGCTCCGCACGCGTACCGCCAACACTGCGTGGGGGGGCGCGCGAGCGCGCCGCCTTCCGATTGGCTATAATCGTTCTCGGGTAGTCTCGCGTTCCCTGGATGGGCCAATAGGGTTACCGCAGTCGAGTGGCCGCCTTCGCTGGAGTGGTGGCGCAGCTGTTTCCTCTGGTAGGTGTGTAACTGCCATCTTTTGTGTGGCTAGGGATGGGTTTCTTGGGCGGGGGTGGAAAGCTTATGTAACAGCTCGTCGTTGTAGAGGGGTCCTGGGGGATCAGTGAGGGAGAAGAGGGATCTGAGGAAGGAGACCCGGCACCTTCTCCCTTACTTAAAAGGAAAGATTTTCCTGGCGAGGAGGACGAGGAGTTGTGCTGGTGGGGAATCCCAGGCTTTGGTTTGTTCGTCATGTTGGGGGCTTGGCGGGGGCTCTTGATGCCTTAACATCGATTCCTCGGGTTATGGGAGCAATTCTTTGTCTCGGAAAGATTCTGTTTATCAACCCCCTTTACTAACAAAAGAGGATGGCGATGGACTGCCCGATTCAGAAAAGAACAAGGGTGGTAATGGAAGGCATAGAGGGAGAAGACTTACCACTATCCTAAGATTTGGAGGAGACCTCTTCATCTTCCTGTCGTTTGCAGGGAACTACTACTACGAGTGTTTGTTCTTCTCGATAGTTACCCTTTGACTAAGATTTTCCTTTGGTAGTAGTGGGCGTCAAGGTTCTGCGTTTGGGTAGTTTTGTTCACTATCGTACGCCCAGCATTCCTGCAGCGGTCTTTTTTAAAAGGGAGAAAGCAGTAGTTACATAAAAGTCTTTGTAGAAACAGTGGAAGTGAAGGAAGAAGAATGTTAAATCTTGATTTCCCTGGTTGCGATCTGTTGTAGATTTTTAAGTATCTGGATCTGCCATGACATGCTTTGGTTGCTTCGTCATGGGCAGTGAGTGGGGAGGCGTTTGTGGAAAGCACCTTAACTTCTTGGGCTCTTTGGGGTGGAAGGAAAGAGAATGGAATTACCTCGTTTTCTTCCCTTTTTTTTTTTTTTAAATCGCGGTGGAAAGCACGCATTGTTTTTCATCTGAGCGGACAATTTTATCGGATTGAAAAACCAAGCCGATGACAGGCGAGTATTTTGTGATCAATGTTAGCAATTTTCACACGCATGAGAAGCAAGCACAGAAGCTTATTTTATTGCCTTGGGTTTAGCTTTCAATTATTTAAGGCTAACTAATGACATAATACATTATGTAGATGTTTTGTGACAGGAATACCAAAGAAAACAACAGTAAAAAAAAAACTGAAGAATTTAAAATTACTTTTTTCTTTATTTACTTTTAAAATCAATGAGTCTTATAAAAACTATTTTGCAAGAGTTCAAATGGTTCAAATATCAATAATTTGGTACTGAATTGATGGCCAAGGTACCTGTTAGTGCAAGCTGTCTTATCAGGTAAGAGATTAGTGTCTAAAAAACACCAATAACACATACTCGGAGGACCTTGGTAAATGTTTGCTAAAACATTTGTATCTCTTTCATAACAGTGACTGTATATATTAGACAGTAATTGTTCAGTGAGTAAATAAAATAATGCAGCTTATTATTGGGAGGTATGGATATAAAATTTTTTGGCATAATTAAAAAATACTTTGGAAAACTTGACTTTCAGTTTGGACTAAATTTGTTGCCTCCAGTTTATGCATACAAATAATATTAAAGGTAGATTCATAATTCTTTTCTGTGAGACATCTGTTTAGGAGATCTTACCATAGAGAAGGTGCATACAATTCAGTGCTCTGCTATTAACTGAAAGATGGGCTGTTTAAACCCACCCAGAGGCATCTTGGAATAAAGTTCTGGCCATCAGTTTCTAAAAGGTCAGAACCTTGAAAACTCTTTGGAGTGCAGTTCTACTCTGCACACTTGAGCTGGTCTTGAGTTAGAATCGACTGGACAGCAACTGGTTACTTCTGGTTACCAGAGAAAAGTTTAGGTAATTAAGATGTGTCCTCAATAATGCCCTGTTTCGCTTTGTTTTCTTGAAAACACATCATCTCAGTAGATGAATATCAAATTTAATTTCAGTGCTTTAGATCTCTTCTATTGAAGACAATTTATTGCTTTTTTAGTTTCTTTTTAACATAATGTCGAAATACTGCAGCTTTACTATATAGCATGAATATTTGTACTTTCAGATAAGTATTTTAAAATAATAAATGAGATATTTTTAAAATTTTCTTTGAAGATAGTTTTCTAGACTTCATACTATATAATCTCCTGGAGAGCCTTAGAAATTTTTTTGTCGTTTTTGTGTGAACTGTAGTAAGTGACTTTAAGTAAAAATTATTCTCATTTAGATTAATATATTAAAGATTATATTCCAATGTAATCATTAATATATGCAAATTTAGACTTTTTCTCTTATCAAGTGTGTGTGATATTTAATTATAAAAGAACAAATTGATAACACCTTTAAAAGGATAACACCTTTTAAGTGAATGTGGTGTTTTGTGGCAGAATGTAGATTAAGTTTTCCTTACGTGATTCACCATCAAAAAATACAATAGAAACTACTCTCAGAATAAGAGCTGTCACATGAATAGATATATGCACACCCATGTTCATTACAGTACCGTTCACAACAGCAAAAAGATGGAAACAACCTAGGTGCCCATCAATGGAAGAATGGATAAACAAATTACGGTATATCCACACAATGGAATACTACGCAACAATAAAGAACAACGATGAAGCTGTGAAACATCTTATAACATGGAGGAAGCTGGAGGTCATTATGCTGAGTGAATTTAGTCAGTCACAGAAGGACAAATATTGTATAAGAGCACTAGTATAAGAACTCAAGGAAAGGTTTAGACAGGGAAGAAAACATTCTTTGATGGTTACGAGGGTGCGGAGGGAGGGTGAGGGTTATTTACAACTAGATAGTAGATAAGAATTATCTTAGGTGAAGGGAAGGACAGTACGCACTACAGGGGAAGTTAGCACAACTGGACTAAACCAAAGCTAAGAAGTTTCCTGAATACCATGAATTCCTGAATGACCATGCTTTCAGGGGACATCTAAGTCAATTGGCATAACAAAGCTTATTAAAGTGTTCTGCATCCTACTTTGGTGAGTGGCATCTGGGGTCTTAAAAGCTTGCAAGTGGCCATCTAAGATGCGTCAGTTGGTCCCAACCACCTGGAGTAAAGGAGAATGAAGAACACCAAAGACACAAGGAAAGTATTAGCCCAAGAGACAGAAAGGGCCACATAAACCAGAGACTTCATCGGCCTGAGACCAGAACTAAATGGTGTTCGGCTACCACCAATGACTGCCCTGACAGGGAACATAACAGAGAGTCCCTGATGGAGCAGGAGAAAGGTGGGGTGCAGAACTCAAATTCTAGTAAGAAGACCAGACTTAATGGTCTGACTGAGACTGGAGGAACCCTGGAAAGCACGGCCCCTGGATTCTCTTGTCAGCCGAGTACTAAAACAATTTCCGAAGCCAACTCTTCAGACAGGGATTGCACTGGACTCTGGGACATAAAGTGATACTCGTGAGGAGTGTGCCTCTTCGCTCAAGTAGATACAAGAGACTATAAACAGGCAGCTTCTGTTCAGAGGTGAGATGGGAAGGCAGAGAGGGTTAGGAACTGGTTGAATGGACATGGGGAATCAGGGTGGAAAGGAGGAGTGTGCTGCCACAGTATAGGGAGAACAGTTAGAGTCATATAACAATGTATGTATAAATTTTTGTATGGGGGAAAAAACTACTCTCAGGATCTGTTCTTTGAACTTGCATTTGATATGTTAAAAATCTAAATAATTTTGTGAGTGAAGATTTTAGGGTGATTCTAAGCACTTTAAATAACGCATTCGAAATGTGCCTTTGTTACCTAGCACTGCAATAACAAAAATTACCAAAAGTGAATGGCTGTAAAGAACAGAAATTTATTTTCTCACAGTTCATGTGGCAAAAAGTCCAAATTGAGGGCGAGGCACTAGCCAAACCAAACCAAACCCGTTGCTGGTGAGTCGTTTCCGACTCATAGCGACTCTATAGGACAGAGTAGAACTGACCCATAGAGTTTCCAAGGAGCGCCTGGTGGATTCAAACTGCTGCTGACCTTTTGGTTAACAGCTGTGGCTCTTAATCACTATGCTGCCGCGAGGCACTAGCAGCAGGTCTTTATTTCAGCTTCTAATACCCTACAGTCCTTGGAGTTTCTGGGTTTGTAGATACATCTGGCTCCATCTGTTTTCCTCTTCCTCTGTGTGTGTCTTTGTGTCTCTTCTAGTTTTTTATAATTCAAAAGCGGTTAGACTTAGGATCTACCCTGTACTGGTATGACTTCATTAGCGTACCAAGAGAAAAGCCCTGTTTCGAAACAGGAAAACCACAGGCACAAGGGCTGGGAATTCAACATATATTTGGAGGGGGGAGACAATTCAATCCATAACAAAATATGATAGATTTCCCCCATCAATAACTGAAAAACCAGATTGTATATAATAATCATTTTCTCTTTTTAACAGAATTTTGAAGTACTAGAACTACCTCGCTGTGTTGTAATAAGTTTGGTCTTATAAATGTCACTTTCTGGAACATTTTGAGATAAATTAGCTGAAATATTTCCATATTCTTTATTAACTTTATGTATTTCACTATCACCTTTCCAGTCTTTAACCAGTATGACCCATTATGGGTATAAATTAAACAATATATGACTGAAAAAAAAATTTAAACTGTAAAAGTCAAAATCACTGCAGCTAGTGATGTTCAGCTAATTAAAACTGATTGATAAAGGATAATGAAGAACACCAAAGACACGAAGAAAGTATTAGCCCAAGAGACAGAAAGGGCCACATAAACCAGAGACTTAATCAGCCTGACACCAGAAGAACTAGATGGTGTCCGGCTGCCACCAATGACCGCCCTGACAGGGAATACAACAGAGAGTCCCAGATGGAGCAGGAGAAAGGTGGGGTGCAGAACTCAAATTCTAGTAAGAAGACCAGACTTAATGGTCTGAATGAGACTGGAGGAACCCTGGAAAGCGTGGCCCCTGGATTCTCTTATCAGCTGAGAACTAAAACATTTCCTGAGGCCAACACTTCAGATGGATTGGACTGGACTGTGGGACATAAAGTGATGCTC